ATATATTCCTTAAAGGGTTTCTGGAGACTAAACTCGGGGAGATAGGAATGCGCCCTCATCTAGAGGGAATTGAAGTATCGATAATTCTGTTCTCTACATTATCACTTCGGTATAGAACTACATTACTACATTGTTTTCGGTTTTCAACCAGAGATTTCGGTTCTTTGGATGAATCTTTGCCAGATCTATAATTGTGATTGAATCTTGATATTTAATAATTATTAAATAATGATCGATATTATTTATTTGATTATCGAGGGATAATATTGATATTAGAGGGATAATTCTTCGATTAACTCGCAAATCTTCTGGAAACGGCATGTAGTTGGCAGAAACAGAGCCTATTGAATTTATACATATAAATTCAAATAATTATTAAATAATAACATATAATTTAAATAAAACATATTAAACATATTAATTATCTTAAATATCTCTAATTCTAATTTATAACTGAAGAATTTGCATTGAGACGTCTTTTATCTAAATTGTTTCAAGTATCATAATATACTGTTCAATAATATGACATGAATTTATTAGTGACAGTTTATTTTCTTCTATAATTTTTATGAAATATTATCTCATACATTTTACATTCGAATCTAAAATCTTCCAATGTTTTGGGACGAATGCCTTTATCAGTTCGATTACGATTCATTTTTTTTTAAATGAATAATACAAGGACAATATGTATTTTCATCGACATATATATCATAAATATTTAAAGATTGATAAGTATTTTTAAGAAATATATGTAAGACATATATAATAGATATATTTAATAAAATTTAAATATATTTAAGATATATTTAATAATTATTTGAATTTATGTGTATAAATTCAATAGGCTTTGTTTTTGCCACTAACTACACACCAGAAGATTTATGAGCTAATTAAAGAATCAGAATTATTATCCCTCTAATCTCGATAATCAAATAAATAATATCGATTATTAGTTAATAATTAAGCATCAAGATTCAATTGCGACTTTATATGACTTATAGACATTTTTTATCCAAATGTACTATCAGTTTTTACATGTTCATGTTATATACATCAGCAAAATGATAATCTAATCTAAGCATTACTATCTTGTCATTTCAATAAATGTTACCACAAGTTAGTCGAACTAATAAAGACACTTGTTCTGGAAGTTCCAGATTCGAAGCCTAGTTAAGGTAATATTTGCAGTGATATTTATTTCTATTTATTTATTTATTTATTTATTTCTAAGTGATTTTTAATCGATATTATTTATCTAATTATCAATATTATAGGAAATATTATATATTACATAATATTAAGAGGAATATATAATTTTAGTTGCTCGCAATCAGCTGATAATGACAAAAATAAAGCCTTTTCCTCTTTATTGAATATATATATATATAT